AGCTTCTCAGATCAACGAGACCCTGACGTGTGGGCAGCATGGCAGGCAGAAACAAAATGCCAGAAACCTCAAAATGTCAGAAGATGCCAAGCCAAGACACACAGGCGGCATCTGTCCTGGCTCTGTGTGGTCACTGTACTCACAAAAGGAATTGGCCTGTTGGTCAATCAAACTGGGAATTTAATTGAACTTTGGAGTGGGTATATATTTGTGCATTGTGGTCCACTGGGAACCCAGACTTGGGATTGGTGGAAAGATTCCTTCTACCATGGTTAGGCTTGGGAAAGGACATCAGGACGTGGGAGGGGGCCTGGGAGACCTGGAAGGTAGCCCACGGTGTGAGCTCCATCATCTGAGTCACTGGGAATCTCCCAAGGGGGTTGGAAGGCCCCATAAGCAGAGTTCAAAGTCTGAGTCCTGGTTTAGTTTCACAAGAGGCTCGGATCTGGATGCTGGGTTGACAGTGGGCCTGTAGGACCTCCCAAAGACCTCTCCAGCACCCCTGACTGTCCCTGACTTGCTGCAGGGAAAGGAGGGTCCCCAAGGCAGGGTGCACAGGGCAGAGATGGGAGTGGCCTTCCTCGACTCTGTCTCTGTGGAAGCACTAAGAGAGGGAAGCGGGTGGGTGCTGTTAACTGTGGTCTGGACTGTCTGGACACGTTCCTGCAGCTGCAGCCACACGTGACGGTTAATCTCTGCTTTTAGAGAGAACGCTTTCTGCAGATGGGAGTTGTGACCTCGGAGCTCTACGATTTGTGAAAATGGAGTTTTTCTTTTTTGTTAATGGTGCTCAGAAGCCACAGAAAAGGTGACTTCTGAGTGGAAAATCAAGAGGACTGAATTGAAATGATCTTGAAACAAATGAACTTGAGTGCTAAATAGCTAACTCTGGGTTTCAAGTGTAATTATGTCTGGGAGAAGACAGTCTTGCTGGGCTGGTGCCAACAGAGATGGCGGAGGGAGATCACAAGTGGAGTCTCCAAGTCCAGAGAGACTCCGAAACACATTTTCAGCTGCCACTCATTGGACCTGGCGAGGTGGGAAGAGACTGACAGGGGCAGTGGGAGAGATGTCATTTTATATATATATACATATATGTATATATTTATATGGAGAGGGAGAGAGAGAGAGAGAGAGAAACATATATATATATATATTTAGAGACATTCTATCTCACTCTATCATCCAGGCTAGAGTGCAATGGTATGATCATAGCTCACTGCAGCCTCATCCTCCTGGCCTCAGGTGATCCTCCTACCTCTGCCTCCCAAAGCTCTGGGATTACAGGCATGAACTACTAAGCCCAGACTCTAAGACTAATTATTATTTAAAATAATAAGGGCTCTTTGGAGAGTAGCTGGTTCCATGTTTGCAGCAGACGGACTCAAGATGGACTTGGGCCTCCTTTAATCTTAGTCCTTACAAAATTTCACAACCTATTTTTGCCTTATGGATGCTGAGCAAAGATAGTAGGGGCCACAAGAGCATGTGTAGATTTATTTGTCAAAGACAAGCCATGTCCACTTATCTTTAGAGTGATCTTGGTTTTAGAAAATTATTTGACAAAATCATGTGTATCTTTGTGAGTGGAAAAAAATAGGGTGAATCTTAGGACAACTAAATGGATTCAGAGTCCACCAGTGGACAGAATGAGTCCAATGGCATTTAGAAAGGCCTCATCCTTGACTCTTGCTTTTTATTCCACATTCCTCTCAGTAATTAGAATGATGACATGCTTATAAAATTAGAGATGACATGGAGTTAGAGGGTCAGCCATCTTGCCTGCAAGAAACAGCATTTCACAAGAAATCTTCAGGTTGGAACAAGGTCTGGACATGAATCATTTGAAACTCGTAAGAAGAGGCATAAAATCACACACTTAGATTTTAAAAATGAACACACAATCTGTGATGAGAAACACCTCACTTAAAATTTTTTGCACAGCCAGTCTCATGCTTAGTGGGCAGAAGCTGGAAATATTCCCTCTAAGAACCAGAATGAGACAAGAATGGCCACGCTCACCCATCCTATTCGGCAGAGTACCGGAAGTCCTAGCCAGAGCAATCAGACAGGAACGGGAAATCATGGGTGTCCAAATAGGAAAAGAGAAAGTTCACTTCTCCCTCTTTATGGATGTTATGATTCTATACCTAGAAAACCCTAGAGAGTCTGTCAAACACTTCCTCACACTGATAAACAACCTTGTAAAATAAATGCACAAAAGACAGTTGCATTTCTATACACCAACAACAAGAAGTCTGAGAACCAAATAAAAAACACAATTCCATTCACAATAGACACACACACACACACACACACACACACACACACACACACACACACACAGAAAATAACTTGGCATCCACCTAACCAGGTAAGTAAAAGATCTTTATAAAGAAAACTACAAAAACTCTACTCAAAGAAATCAAGAATGATGCAAACAAATGGAAAAACATCCCATGTGCATGAACTGGAAGAATCAATACTATAAAGATGTCCATCCTACCCAAGGCAATCTATAGATTCAATGTAATCTCTATCAAATTGCTGACATCATTTTTGACAGACCTAGAAAAGACAATATAGAAATTCATATGATAGCAAAAAAAGAGCACAGCTAAAGCAATCCTCAGCAAAAGGAACAAAGTTGGATGCATCACAATTCCAGACTTTAAACTAACCAAGATGGCATGGTATTGGCATAGGAATTGGCATATAGATCAATAGCACATGACAGAGAAATGGCATGGTATTGGCATAGGAATTGGCATATTGATCAATAGCACACGACAGAGAAACCGGAAATAAAAACACCATCCCTCGACCAACTCATCTTTGACAAAGCCATCTATAACAAACGTTGTGGAAAGGAAACCATACTTAGCAAATGGTGGTCGGAAAACTGGCTAGCCACAAGCAGAAGTATGAAACTGGACTCCTACACACTGCCATATACAAAAATTAACTCAAAATAGATCAAGGACTTAAATGTAAAACCTCAAACTATATGCATCTTAGAAGAAAACATAGGGAACACCCTCCTGGATATCAGAGTAGGCAATGAATTCATGGTCATGTCCTCAAAAGCAAATTAAACAAAAGCTAGGATAGACTGGTGGGACTTTATCAAACTGAAAAGTTTTGGAGAGCAAAAGAAACCATCAAAAGAGTAAAGAGAAAATCCCCCGAATGGGAAAAAATATTTGCAAGCTATGCATCTGACAAAGGCCTGACATCTAGGAGCTACAAGGAACTCGAACAAACTGAAAGGAAAAAATACAAACAACCCCATTAAAAAGTGGGCAAAGGACACGAACAGACAGTTCCCAAAGGATGACATACAAGCAGCCAATAAACATATGAAAAAATGCTCAGTCTCACTATTCATCAGAGAAATGCAAATCAAAACTAAAACGAGATACCACCTAACTCTGGTGAGGATGGATATCATTAATAAGTGAAAAAAACAACTGCTGCTGGCATGGCTGTAGAGAAAAGGGCACACTTCTACACTGTTGGTGGGAATGTAAGCTTGTTCAACCTTTGTGGAAAGCAGTGTAGTGATTTCTCAAAAAATAAAAAATTGAGTTTCCATGTGATCCAGTAATCCCTTTCCTGGGAATATACCCAGAGGAGCATGAATCGCTCTACCAAAAAGTCACCTGCATATACATGTTTATTGCAGGACTATTCACAATAACAAAAACATGGAATCAACTGAGATGCCCGTCGAAAATGGACTGGATAAAGAAAATGTGGCATATACATGCGATAGAATATTATGTAGCCATAAAGAAGAACAAAATCATGGCCTTCTCAGCAACTTGGATGCAGCTAGAGACCATAATACTAAATAAACTAACACAGAAACAAAGAACTGAATACCACATGTTCTTACTCATAAGTGGGCCCTGGATACTGGTCACATCAGCACAAAGGTGGGACCAGCAGAAGCTAGACACTGTTAGGGGAGGGAGAGAGGGAGGAAGGAGATGACATGTGGCAACATACTGGGTACTTGGTCCACTATCGTAGGGAGAGAAGGCCTACTAGAAACTTCAACTGCATGCAACCTTCTTATATAGTAAATCCTCACTTGTATCCCACAACTCTAAAAAAAATATGTTTGCACAAGGAAGACCCAGGGCTGTTAGTTAACTGAAAACTCAGAATGAGTCAGCAGTATCATATAAATGCTTTATAACAAAAACAAAACAAAAAAGGAGGCAATACTATCTTAGGCTGAACTATTGAGTGCCTACAGCAGGGGTCAGAAGACTTTCTCTGCAAGGGCCAGAGAATAACAACATCAGTCTTTGCAGACTGTAATCTTCCTGCCATGTTGTGTGATAACCAAGAGAGAGGATGTAAAGGCGTGAGCACACTTCATTTACAGAAACAAATCAGAATTCCAGATCATTCTCACATATCACAAAAGAATCTTTTAATTTTTAAAAAACATAAAAAACGTGACTTCCTCTTTGCCTCCCCAAAAAGCAAAAGCCACTCTAAGCTTGTGGGTCACACAACATCAGGTGGCTTGCGGACTTGACTGGTGGGCTATGGTTGGCCGTCCCTGGCTTAATCAAAAGACACCGCACTCTGCCTTGATCAAAATACTCCTGGATAAACGAGAGTCAGTTTTAAGCAAAACACTTCTTGAGGTGACAAATGGGGAGGATATGGACACATTCACTCTCAGGAGAGAGAACTAAGGGTGAGTGTGCTGGATACCGAAAACACTCAGAGGTCATCGTGTGAATAGAAAATACTTCATCTGTGTTGTTCATAGACCAGGACGATGAGAGGATGTCCCAGGGAGGCAAAATTTACCTTAGTGTAAGGAAGAATTTTCTGTCACACAGAGCCAACCCCTTGCCAAATGGGCTGCCTCTTAAGCTGGTCATTGCATGGCTGTCTTTTGAGAATGTTGCTGAAAAGGTTCCCCACAGTGATGGGCTTCAGTGCAAACCTCAGAAATGATATTCACCAAGCCTCACCTTCAAAAATCCTAAGGACCTCTTGATTAATATACTTCTTTATTTCTTCAAATGAAACTGCATCAGCCTAAAGAAAGGAAAAAAAAACAAAACAAATAGAATATCGCAAATGAATAAAGAGTGGAAATGTTGAGTTGATAAGCACATTTGAAACTTCTATAGAGACTCATTGATCAAGCAAATTGCTTTTAGCAATTGACTATTTTGGGCAACACAGATCTTTTGTTCTGATCCTTTTAGCAATAAGTTGAAGTGCATAATTGCTTTAAAAGCTGTGGCTGGAATTACAACCAGTGATATCAACATGCTTCCTATTGAGTGGAGAGATGTGACTTGACTTTAAAAGTGGGAAAGACATTTCCTGTTATATCATCTTATAAAGTTAAGGAATGTAAACAGTGTTCTCATGACGTTAGTATCCCAATTACTATCGAACTTATAACCAATCCCCAGACATTGGCAAGTATCCAATTGGTAAAAGGTATCCTCAAAGAAAGAGAACCTGGAAGGGAACTCCAAGTATGCTGGATTATTTCTAAAAATGTTTTATTCATGGCAGAACATTTACTGAGTTTTATCTACTTCATGATAAAGTTTATCCTGTAATCTACACATTGCAAGCATATATGTATTGAACAATTTTCCTTTCTTAATAGAAAAGGCTTAAGGGACCTGGTAGAAGGAAGTAGGTCAATGATGTCAGTTGAATTTTAACCTCTTGACAAGTAAATCCACATGCATTTGACAAAGAGCATAACATTTATAGTAGTATTGTTTTGCTGTGGTGCCTAGCCATTTTCAAACGGGAGCTATTATTTTTCACGAGGGTCAGGATTTCACAGTATTTTGTTACTCTTCTTTGTATTTGGTGTTATCATCCAGGGGTACACGTGTGACATTAACAACCGTGGGACACAGGTCAGAGGCTGTGATACAGAGAGTCATCCCATGGGCTAACTATTCACTTTGAGATGTCTACACAAACAAAGACGATAATGGACGTGGTCAGATGAGAACATTGGGAGCTCTGTGGAAATGTGATTTCCAGCCTGCGTGTGGCCTCAGCACCTCTCTATAATTAGACAGTGAGCCTGAATTTGTGAAAGTTCATCACCATCCTTCCTGGAAACTCCTCCATCCTGTCTGTGCCTAGGTATGTGATAAAACTGTTGTTGTGGAATTTCCTAACATAAATGATGCTAGTTCATTTGTAACAACAAACTTATTTCGAATCAGAAAAACTTCAGTGTGATGGACTCATAAAGTGATGATTTCTGAAGGACGGGATAGTTCTAAAAATGCCCCATTTCATTATTTTCACTGCATAGGAGACAAATGAACTTGAATTAATGCATCTAATGTTGATTACTGACACAGCACTGGAAATTCAAGGCTTTATTCAAGTTTAAGAAGCGTAGGTAAAAATAAAGCCACGTGGCAATTGCAGGAATACGAGGCTCTGCTCTGGAAGGTGATCTGTCACTGCTCACTTCACTCAGAGTCCTCCTTCTTCCCTACGTGGATATCTTCAGATGAAATTCTTCTGAGGCTGCCCGCCCATGCCTCCCGAGGATGAAAACAGAGACGTCGGCATTCTCACTGGGCACACTGGGCCTAAGTGGTTTCTACCTCAAAGCACTACTCAGGGCAGATCTGCGGTTCTGACCTTCAGGAGAATAGAATATGAAACAGACATGTTGCACAGCAATGTGAAGCAGATGTGTGTGGCTTCAGTGCAGTGTGAGGAGACATTCTAGATAGTTCCTGTGTTTTAAGAGCATAATTTTGGATTCCCCCAGCCTTGGGTCTGGCCTACCTAATAACCCCATGACGTGGGGCAAGTCAGTTGCCAGCTTCTGCATCTTGGCAGGTGTGATTCCAGGACCCCTGTGATTCCAGGTGGGTTGTGAGACCCAACAAGGCATGTTCAGCAGGAAAACAGCACAGAGTCCAGCACATGATGTAAACCCCTGTCATGACCCTTAAGGAGACCAGCTTAGGTCTGTTCTGTCTATTGAAAAGGCATCATCACTGCTTTTGCTGTAGAGGGCTCCACAGTCAACAAGAGCCAGGAGCCCTGAAGCTCTTCACACTACTTACCAGAGTGCCGGGGATGCCTGGAGAGCCTGGCGGGCCTGGGTGGCCAGGGGTTCCCACGGAGCCCTTAGTCCCCGGTGGGCCCACAGGTCCTATGGCCCCCTTGGTGCCAGCAAGCCCTGGCTTTCCCCGTTCACCCTGTGGGCCTCGGTCTCCTGGAATTCCCTGATCACCCTGTTAAGGAAAACATAATGATAATAGAGAATACTCCCTCCTAGAGCCACAGCAGCATGGCTGAGAGCAGAGAGTCTAAGTCCACACTAGAAAGTGTGCTGTGGGACTGCAGGTGGTGACTTGAACGCTGTTCCTCCCACTTCTCCTGCAAGTGTGGATATGCACACTACACTGAGCAGGACAATATTGAGAAACATGCAAACGAACCCAGGCGAAGTGTGGGAGCAGTGCTGGCACCCAGGCAGCTCTCCACATGTGCATGGCTGCAAGTGCCAGTCTACCAGAGGGTGCCTTGGACAGTTGGCACCAGTGTCACCCAAGGCCTGGGTCTCCTTTGCAATCATAGAAGAAGCTTGCCCAGAGGACCTCATCACTGAGATTCTTCACTCAATAGAACCCCAGGACACTCAAAACTGCTCCTAAATCATGTGTACTCCCCACTCCACTTTCTCCTGTTTGGTCTTTATCAAACTCTTTGGGTTTGCCTTCTGTACTTGTGTTCTACGTGTGTGCATGCACGCATGCACATGTGTACATGTCTGCATGTGTATACACGTGTGCATTGCATGCATGTATGTAGGCACGAATGTGTGCATATGTCATACATGTGTACATGCATGTGTATACATGTGTGCATGTGTGGGCTTGCTTGTGAGCATGGTCGTTGTGTTCTAAATATATACAGTACACAGAAGTGAGAAAGCAGAGCCTTTGAAAGGTTCTGAGAGATAACCGGGGAGGCGGGTGGCTGCTGAGATTATTTACCCAGTGGCATAAATGAACTAGGAGATAATTTGCTGAGTAAGATGCCACATCAATTAGGAAAATATTACATTTGATGAGTCTAACTCCTTCATGGAGTTTCCTTCATGTTGTCTTTTATCCTGCAATCTGTCTACTGCTGTGTATGTTTGTATGACAGAGAGAGAGAGAGAGAGAGAGAGAGAGAGAGGAAGAGAGAGAGAGGGAGAGAGAGGTGGTTTATTGTGGCAGATGTTTCAGTCATAGGTTTTTAAATATTCAGTCACACAATTCCAGGAGGTGATGTTCACACTCAATATGTTGGAATGGTGCTTGAAGTTGCCATGTGTCTCCTTGGCAAAAGGTCAAACTCTATTTCTCTTGATTTAAAAAATAATGACAATAAGTGGACATTTATAGAGATCCATGTGAACATGGACTATGAAGACATATAGAAAGAAGCCACAGGCAACCCTCTTTCAGGTCCCCTATCACTTGAGAGCTTTTTTGTCTGCTTAAGAAACTCCTGCTTTCTTACCTCTGGAGAAAAAAAAGAAAAGAAAAGAAAAGAAAAGAAGTCATGTAGAAAGAAATAAAAGCAGTTGGGCCTAATATCAATGCTGTTGTCTTAGTTACAAAAACACATCTCCATATAGGTCTGTCAACCTGGCTCACATTTGGAGAAGTTTCCAAGATGATTTAAAAAAAGATACTAGCACACTTTGATCAATGATCAATACTGTGATCATGTGCAAAATAAATGCAATCTTTAACATATAAAAACTATTTTATAAGTTAGGTACAAAGATGTTCACTGTAGTGATGTTTATTACAAAAACTGGAAAGAATCTGCCCAGAAAAAGGGGAGGTAAGTGGAATGAGGTCTATTCTAACAGTAGAATAACATACAGCAATTAAAAGACAGATGTAGATATATAGTTACTGGCAGAGAAAGATGATTATGTATTGTTGTATGAAAAAAAGTCATTTCCAAGACAGTAAAAGTTCATCTTTGGAAAAGCATGTATTTATTTATATTGTTACCCACATATGTGTATATTTTGCATATGAGTGAGAGAGATGGAAATCTGCCCAAAATACCAAAGTGCTCGTCTCTGTGAAGGGGAATGAAGTGGATTTTTTTCTTTCTATTTTAATTTATATTATCTTTATTTTCACATTTCCTTCAGTTATTGGGAATTATATGTGCAATAACAAATAAAAATGAGCACATAAACACCGTATGCAGACAGACACGTGCCCTCCTCACACATAGTCACAGTCCCTGAGGAAACAGCCCTGAGTAACATTCCTGAGGAACCCCCACAGCCACGTGACCCCAATCCTACTGGAAAGCATTAAGGTTTATTAAAGAAACTTCTGGGAAGTTGCAGCAGCAACAACAGCAACCCGAGGAATTCAGACAGTAGCATGCAGGGTAACTAGGTTGCCCATAGCTTCACTATGCATCCATTTCTTTCCATTTCTACCCCCTACCACCAAGACTTCTTCCTACCACCAAGACTTCCTGGAGGCCAGTGTTTCTAAAAGGGGGATTTTGTTCCCCGAGAGGCACATTTGGTTGCCACAGCTGTACGCGGAGGCCAGCGGTGCTGCAAGCATTCCACCACTCAGAAAGCAGCCACCACAACAGAGTTACCTGCCCCCAAATATCCCCAGGACTGAGGCTGAGAAACTCAGCTCCAGGCAAAAAAGAATGTGGGTGATGTCACACAGTAGGGGTGCATATCTGAGGCAGGAGGATGATGACAGCTTTCCAAGCTCGAAGAGGGAAGTGGACTTGGCTTTGTGCAGAAGCTGGTCATACAGGTTTACCTGCCGTGTCACCTGCTCTGGGTCCTTTATCGGTCATATTTCATGTCTAGTGGGGCTCTCAGATCACAGACAGCCCACCCAGCCTTTTCTTACTGAGAGGTTTGTAGGGGTCTATATACACAACTGTGAACCCAAACGACAGGATAGTTGTAACAGACCTGAAAAACAGTCACGACAGCAGTATACATACACGTTCTCCTTTGGGACCTCTGTCTCCAGGCTTGCCTGCAATGCCCTGAAAAATAGATGTAACACTGACATCACCACTTGCCAAGGCTTTCATCAATCTGATTGACCTACGTGATGGTAGGTATTCCAGATGCAGTGAACTTTTATTTTAAACAATATTTTCCATACCTGAGCACCTGGTAATCCATCTTTTCCATTCATTCCCTATAAAGATGAAACATGATTAATTCTAATTCTGCACGAACATAGGTAGACACAACAAAAAGGTAAAGTTTCAAGGACAGCTGCTTAGTCATATTGTTAGTGAAATCTTGGTGAGACAATGTGGTGAAATGGAAAACAGATTAATAGAGTCAGGCATCCCTGCGTTCAAGTTCTGTCACTTACTAGTTGCGTTGACCTTGTTGGTCAATTTACTTAACCTCAATAGCATCAGCCTCTTTACTTACAAAGTGAGGAAAAGTAAACAGTCACCCAAGATTATTTTCCTGAGAAATAAGGAGGCGCCCCATGTCGCTAGGGTGTTGGTCATAGCATTTTTGCCACCTGCTAACAAGTTTTCATAACAGAGAGTCATCTTCAAGGATGGCCTCAGATGCTGTGGGGGAAATTTCTAACATGACCAGATCATGATCCCACCATGAAATCAATTGTCAGCTGGAGAAGCACTGCTGTTTCTCAGTCGGAAGATATGAGGAGAAAGGAAAGCAAGAAATCATAGCCATAAATATTGAGTGACTTTTTATTAGAAAACTGGATGTTTCCAGAACTTCAAAAGGCAGTTCTAGAAGTGGTAATAAAACCTATTCCTGCTTAAAGATTTCCAAGGCTGGGAGGACCCCTGGTTGGGAGCCACAGATAGAGAAGCACCTGGTCATATTGCTACCCAGGTCACCAGCAGATGGGCTTCTGAGGTTTATTTGCAGAGGGAGTTAGGGTGAGGGTTGTGCCTTCCCAGTGATTCATCGTGCTGGGACAGATTCCAAGAGGCTGGAACTGCATGTCCTCCTGCTGATGATGACACTAAAATCTGTCACAGTTGGTGGCCCAACCACAGTCCCCAGCCTTTCTGAAGACCCCAGGAGCTCTTGAGAGTCCTTGAGCAAAGATCATGCTACGTGGAGCATATGGTTCAAAGAATTCATTATATCCAGCACTGTAAACAAAAGATGAGGCAGATATGGAGAGGATGTGGAAGAAAGGGCTATGCCATTTGAATAAAAGGAGAAATCTAGTGGAAAATGTGGCTCGCGTTGCTGGTAACAACATAAAAAGAGAAAGAACCCTACAACAATTTTCTGTCTCCAATAATTTTGCAAAGAAGATCACAGGTGTCCTCTTCTGCACATGATGTTTGTCACTTGATGTCCATGGATGTCCTGCCCTCAGAAATTTCATGAGACCACATGACATCTGCCTTTCTCTACCCTCATCTCCATCCTCTGGAAGGAGTCCTCCCTAGCCTGCACTGGGCAGCTGAGTGCTTGAAGATCACTGCTTGCTGGTCCTAAGCCAAGTGGGCGACATGGATCTTAGGTTACTTCGAGCATGCAGGCCGCTCCTCTGCACCCCCCAGGTTGACTCTCCCCTCCCCCATAGCGTCTCCTATCTCTTCTAGCTCCAGCATCACCCCTATCCTCACATTCGACTCTCCTTCACTGAGGAGATGAACAGGAGAGAACTCCACCTACCAGATCCATCAACCTCTGTGGACTTACCCCTCGACATCTACAGTTCCCATTGAGAAGGGTCAACAGCTCTATTTCTTGTTAAGACCAATTTCCAGTTGGAAGAGGAACACTGGTCCCCCTCTACTCAAAGGAGCTCCACTGTCTCGTGTCATCAGAATCATTCTCAGTGGGACATAAATGTGCTAAATCTCTCCCCCAATCACCCTTGCATGTCTAAACCCAGAGGAAGGTGGCCAGCCCTCAGGTCCTTCTCTGGAGGTCTACACCCCTCTTTCCCTTCCCTTAGGATATCCATGTCTAAACTCCTCTGTCCCTTCCCTCAGGACATGCATATCTACACTCCTTTCTCCCTTCCCTTAGGACATGCATGTCTACAATTCTTTCTCCCTTCCCTTGGGACCCCTACTCATTCGCCACCAGGAGCTTCAGAATTGCGTTTTCTCTGTCGCTCCTTGGCGGAAGTTGCTTAGTCTTCTACACTGAATCCTCTTCCCAATGATTGATCTCTTCCCTCCCCACCTGCAGGGACACTGCTGGGTCCAGGCTCAGGTTCAAACTTCCAAATTGGTCTCTCCAACCTTGGCTCTGTTCCATTCCAGATGCATGCCTCCACTGCATATACCCGTGTCCACTTGGGTGTCTCCACACAAGCGTGCCCACACAGAGGACTCCTGGCTTCAATCTTCTCTACCTCACCACCCTCACACAGCTGCTCAACCTCATACTGCAGCTTGGCATACACATCTGGCCCACCAGCAGATCTTGTGGCTGTCCCCTGGATGCACTCCCAGATTCCCCACTTATGGCCTCCCTGTTCCCACTCCAGGCACGTCTTATGGAGGTGTCGCTGCTTCCTACTGTTTGTCTTCCTCCACTCGTGTCCCACACAACCATCAGAGTGACACCTAAGATGTCTGTCACTTTTGTTCCCTACTCCAAATCTCCCACAGTTTCCGTCATATTCCAAATGAAACCCAACTCCATTCCTGATGTAGATGGTCCTTATGGTCTGGTCTCCACCAGTGCTCCCCTCAGGACTGTTCCTGCTCTTCCTTTCCTTGGCCCATGCTTGGTTTCACATCTCTTGCTGCTTCTTGACCTCACCAGGGTAGGTCCTCTCCTTCAACAAGGCTCTCCTGACCTCCCCACAACTTGATATCTCTTCACACGCAGGTTTCTGCTTGGAGGGCAGGCAGGCCTTCTCTGAGTTTATTTGAATGGTGCTCTGGAGCAGGGGTCTCCAACCCCTGGGCTGCAGACCAGTACCCATCTATAGCCTGTCAGGAACCAAGCTGTGCACAGCAAGAGCTGAGTAGCAGGCAAGTGGAGCACCGCCTTCTGTCAGATCAGCAGTGGCATTAGGTTCTCACAAGAGCCTGAACCCTATTGTGAACTGTGCATGTGAAGGATCTAGGTTGTGTGCCCCTTATGAGATTCTAATGCCTAATGATTCCCTCCCTGCCTGCTGCTCCTGGTCCATGGAAAAACTGTCTCCATAAAGCTGGTCCCTGATGCCAAAAAGGTTGGGAACCACTGCTCTAAAGCTTCACTCTGTCTAGCTCCCCTTTTCCTGGATCTGTGTGTGCATTTACTGTTTGTTTTACTTGTGTTCTTATCCTAGAATGCATACCCCATGAGCTGCCAGCACTCAGTGCAGTGCCCGCATGGAGTCAGTATCCAAGAAACATGTGTTGAGTGAGCAAATTGCTTTTGGCATGATCTCCTGGGGACCTGAATTCAGAGTTTCAGGAGTGGGCTCTCGGGGTAAGAATGGAGAGTTGGTATGGGAATGGGAGGGAGAAAAGAAGAAGAAAACTGACATTACTGGACATCTCCCATGGGCAGGTGCAGATGTGCTTCCCGTGTGTCATGTCATGTAGGAGACATCAGACCCTTTGGGCCATAATTCAGAACCAGATCTCTCTGATAGCAAATTGCATGTGCTCCATTCTTGCACATGACCTTTTCTGAGGAGATAAGGTCCCCAATCCTCGAGACCAGAGGAGCTCAGTGCTGTGTGATCACCTCCAGTCTCCCCGTCCCCAGCAGGGTACCCCTCCCTTATACAGCACTGAAGATACACAGGCAAAGCAGCAGTGCACTTCTAGAACCACCGACCCAAGAGTGAGGTGTGTCTTGTTCACTTTTACATCCCTCCCTAAGGACCCGGCACAAACAGCAGAGTCTGAATGAGCTGTGGAGTTGGATTAGTGGAATGACTGTTAGGGTGTCATGTCAATACCACATGTCAGTAGCCAAGAGCTGTTTCACGACATGGACATGACACACCCAGCAACAGTGATGGATGGAGGTGTAAGAATGAGGCCCCTATGGACAGAAGAAGGAATCTGAGAAAACAGCTTCCACTCTGAGTTTTTGCTTGACCTATGGGTATTTATCTGAGAGTCTCTGGTTTCTTTGCATTCCAAGATGTCACATGTCATTTTATTGTTCAATTCTGTTGAGAACATTAGGGTTAAAAAACAATGAATCTAATTTCCTGACACTTGAAACAAAAATCCTTCCTTTTCCATCATTGTTTATGATATAAAGATACCACACAGAGATCTAGGAGACTCAGTGAGAGCTCCCCACCCAGACCTCCAAAAATCCATTTGCAGAACCTGCTCTTACTTCCGTGGAAAATGCTTATTCAAATCTCGGAATTTCTGAGGAGGTAGGTGAGGAGGTAATGTTAGAACATTTTCCAAAATGGCATATTTTAAACAGTAAAAAACACTTACTGGCTTTCCTGTGGATCCTTCTGGCCCAGGGAAACCTATGTCTCCTACAGGTCCTCTCTCACCCTAGGGACATGTCCACAAACACAAATGAATCACCAAGAAATGTTTTAAAACTGCAAGTGGGTATAATACAAGTACAACTGATGCAAAAGCCTCTGACAACTCACCGGTTCCCCAGGAACACCTGGGGGTCCTGGGGCACCGGGCTTCCCCTGGGAAAGCAAACGGAAGAGCATGTGAGAAGGCGAATACTAGACAGTGCCATGCACTTCCCTCCCCACCCTCAAGTTCATAGCACCCCTAGGACTGTGACTCTCCAAGAAGCAGTGTTCCTATGGGGACAGAGGCCAGGGTTGCATACTCAACCTGCAGGCTACAGGGCACAGACAGGAGTATGGCTCTCTGTGTGGATGGCAGAGGGGCACGAGGAAGAACATTTCTGAAAATATTAAACTAAAGTGTATCCATTGTTGGAAATTCCTCTTGCACCTATTTCCCCAGAAGGGCACAGAGGATCAGTGAAGATTTTCCCAGGCTCTGTGTGTCACAAGAGGGTTTTTAAGTTCACAGTAAGATAGACTAATAGAAGGATGTGAATTTGAAAAGTTGTGTTTTGCTGAAAGAAAAAGGAACAGGTAGAGCAGGTTAATCTGTTCTAATGCACTGTAGCTTGGAAGACTGACACTGGAAAGGGCCTAGAACAGTAAGGTCACAGGAAGGATGACAGAGGAGAGTTCCCAGCAGAGGCTGGTGGCGGAGCAGTGCCAGGTGTACAGACGGCTGTGATGCTGCAACTGAGAAGGAACCACCTCTGATCCCTTGGACCTGACACAGCTGGGAAAGACAGACAACATGGGAGTGTAGGTATGGACCTGAGACCTTAGTCAGCCAGGTAGGTTTTGGAGGAGTATGAAAAGGAAGGGGATTTTTCCCATGTGCTGCTTAGAATTCTGGAAGAAGGCCCCCTCTTGGGTTTAGATTCGGCTGTGTGTAAAGCTAGGCAGACACAAAGTCAAGGCTGAAAGCATCCTGGCTCCCACAGCTGGCTGCCAGCAGGAGGTCCTGGAGTTCCTATGAGTACAAGAGGGGATGGAGCCAAGGCCAAGGTCCACAAGGGTCTTGGTGTGGATGCAGGGGGAATGGAGTATTCGAGCATTGGGATCTGAGACAGAGGGACAGGGATACTGATGGAGGTGGCAGCAACCCTAAGGTCAGCAGGACCAGCAGAGAACTCAGAGCACTGGGAAGACGGGCTGAGTGGAGGGCCCTCACTATGCCATCACCACAGACACTCTCTCCTGTATACCCACAGCCAGCCTGAGAGACGGGGTGAGAAATAAATTCTGGAGAGACCCCTGGATGGCCCTGAATAGCCCAGAAAGGGATGGATTGGTAATGCTTGAGGAAGAGCAGGATTGAGTCCCCTTGGTTATCGGATGAGTAACCATGGTGTGACTAAGTGAGAGGGTCTCATCTCTGTTGCGACCAGAATAATTGCCTTAAAATTATTTTTGTCATGATTATATATATGTGTGTGTGTATGTACATATGTGTATATATATACATATATATGTATATATAACACAAAATATTTGCCACTTAAGCTATTTTTAAGTGTATACTTCAGTGGCACTAAATATAATCACAATATCATGTAATCATCATCACTATTTCTAGGCCCTTTTAACGATTTTGTTTTCTCAGCCACAGCAAGGTCCATTTATAAAAAAAAAAGATGTTTTTTATTAAACAGTTGCTTATTTGCCATCTGTAAAGTTTTTAGCTCTTTATTTCTGTAATTGTCAGTTAAAGATATATGAAAACTGTTTTTTAAGTAGGTGAATCAGATCTTAGATATTTGCCCAGGTAGCAAGCTAGCCCCTTATTTCAATAACGCCTCATCCTTCAGAAGTGTTTTTGGAAGCCCTCATTTACATGCTGTTCCAGATGGCTGCACGGCTTTTACATATTTTGGTGACCAGGATTATCTCTTTGAAGACGAACTTAATTTAAGGTTATAGCAAAAGAAATCTGTAATCACACCTGGGTGAATACAGTAGAAAATTAAGCTTCACTATATCACATGAGACGAAACCAGGATGTGAATATAAGGGTGCAGGCTGTAAGGGCACCCTCAGGACAAATCCAGATACAGAGTTTCCAATATGTTGCCAGAAATGTTGATGGGGAGCGCAGTAGGGAGGGACAAGATCAAGTGTGGAGTCAACTTTCAAGAATACTTTCTTTAATGAATACTTCTCAAATACTTGCTAAAGAAAATATTCTCGTGTAACTTTTCCAATCATAAAAATATTTAACTCTATCTAGAACAGCCAGATAAGGGAATGTCATTCTCTGTAAAGGATACAGTTAATGGACAGGTTCTATTTTGAATTATTCGACCTAGCAGTTAATGGAGTGGGGTAGAGTAGCTCCAGACACTTTTAGGAATGGGGTGGCATTGGGCAATGGGCAGGACACTGGATGTCATCAGTACATGTCAAAAGTGGGTAGTGGGTGTCAGTAGATACAGTGGATGGTGGTGGGTGGTGATGGTGCAGCCATTCTCATCTTTCTTATGTTTCTGTGATTCAAGCACATGGCTTTTCTGGACTTTTCTGGACTGCTGTCCTGAACCTGCCTTGCAGGGGCGCCCAGTAAGAGGATAAATGTCCTCTTACTCATAAAGCATGACCACAACATTTTAATTAGCACATCAAGAATGAAGACTAGAGTGATCCCTAGGGCTCAGAGAAATGATTTCAACCTTTCCTGGAGCCCTTCCTATTCATTTTAAAAGCCCTTGATGAGATTAAAACATTTGACACCAGAGAGCAACAAAAATGATTGAGAGGGCTGAAGGACTAGTTTATGAGGAGACATTAGTGGCCATAAACTCTGCTAATTGCCCCAGTAGGGGACAACCCAGGCAGATGCAGCTTAATGCGAGGAACCTGGCATGCACGTATGAGGACAGGAATTTGGCCTTCGAAGACTGTGAACCTTTGACCTAAGAGAACAGAGAAGCAAAACACTCTTCAAAGCTGTGCTCATAGACTAAGGTACAGTCACGGGTAACTCGGGGTCCTCTCCCTTCATGAAAGTGACGTGGGAAGAAAACAAACAAATTAAAAATAAGAGAAAGGTAAAAATAAAGAATGGTACATTCTTGAGGTGGGAGAAAGACAAGTGGTTTTATTTACGACACTAGAGGTTCCAGGAACTTAATGCCATCAGTTTTACGATGTACTTCCCAGTCCTTCTTATTTTATTTTATTTTATATTCAAGGAGTACATGTGCAGGTTTGTTACATGGTTATATTGTGAGACGATGAGGTTTGGGCTTCTATGAAGTCTGTCACCCAAATGATGAGCATGGTACCCAGTGGGTAGTTTTTATGTAAGACCTCAAGCTATAAAAATCCTAGAAAAAAACCTAGGAAACACTCTTTTGGACATTGGCCTACACGATGCATTTATGACCAAGTCCTCAAAAACAAACGCAGCAAAACCAAAAATTGACAAGTGGGACTTAACCAAAGAGCCTCTGCACAGTAAAAGAAACTATCAACAGAGTAAACAGACTACATACAAAATGGGAGAAAATATTTGCAAACCATGTACCTGACGAAGAATTAATATCCAGAGTCTATAGGGAATTTAGACAAATCGACAGAAAAAAAATAACCCCATTAAAAAGTGGGCAATGGACACGAACCGTTCAAAGGACAACATACAAGCAGCCAACAAACACATGAAAAAATGCTTAACATCACTAATCATCAGAGAAATGCAAATCAAAACCACAATGAGATACCATCTCACACCAGTCAGAATGGTGTTATTAAAAAGTCAAAAACCAAAAGATGTTGGCAAGGCTGTGGAGAAAAGGGAATACTCATACACTGTTAGTGGGAATGCAAGCTAGTTCAACCCCTGTGGAAAGTAGTTTTGATATTTCTCAAAAAACTAAAAATAGAATTACCATTCGATACAGCAATTCCACTGCTGGGTATATACCCAAAGGGGCATAAACCACTGTACCAAAAAGACACCTGCACTCACATATTTATCACAGCACTGTTCATAGTAGTAAAAACATGGACCCAACTTAGGGACCCATCAATGGTGAACTGGATAAAGAAAATGTGGTATATTCCAGCCCTTCTTATCTGGCTGTGGGCTTGTCATGGAGATAGAACCGTTCACCTGGGAAAACGACGTGAGAATCTGAACTTACCGGTATCCCAGCCACTCCCGGGGGACCTGCTGGGCCTCGATCACCCTGTTGGAATTGAAAAAAATGTTGCTACTTATAATATCTGCAAAATTTTTACTTATAAAATTAATCCTCAAAAATAATTTGTACTTGATACAACTTTTCTTTGGATCTGATAACTGTTGTCAATGTTAGCTGCTGTGACGCTAACAGGCAGATGGGAAAATAACAAAATGAGTAGCCAATTGAACTTGCTACATCTTTTTTCCCTTGTAAAATAAAAAATAATAGCAAACAAGCATTCATGTTATCAATTCTGTGAATTATTCTTAATAGGACTCTATACATACTTACTGCTAAAATTAGTCAACATTTTTTCTCCACATATTCAAAAGATCAATATTTTTGTGTGAAACAGTCAGCGCACCAAGTGTCTTCTAAAAAGCTCTTCCTCTTCTTATCTCAGCAGAGGTAGATAAAAAAGATCTAGTAGTTTGCAGTTCTTTTCATCCTACCAATCAGAAGAACCCCTGAATTGCTCTGAATAATGAAGTGACTCAAATCCTCTTCCAGATGTAACTTGGCATTTTAGATAAAACTGACAATGCTAAAATACTAATGATTTTATGTATATAAGGAGAGAGTGGTTCAAAGATATATAAAATCATTATATATATATATATATGGTATAATAAAATGACAATTTTTGGGGTAGAACCCATATTTAAAAGAGCTTCATTTCGGGACATAAAATAATTGACTTAATGAAGAGATACATTTGGTTCTTGGAGGGCAAGATAATGTTGTAAAGGTGCAACTGTTACTCAAACTAATTTATACATTTAATGCAATTGTTACAAAGCTACAGCTTAATCAAATGATATTAAAGTTTACTTGGCATAATAAATAAATAAAAAGTTCAAAGAAGAATAAAAGAGATACTAACAACATCAATGTTTAAATATATGATAGATAAAGCTATAATAACTGGAATAATGGAATATTGGCATAAGATTAAGCAGTATATTAATATGATATAGCAAAAATCTCAGAAATATAATAGCATTTATAATACGATTCCAGTAAAGAAAGAGATGTATTGTTCAACAATTAGTGCTAATAATTGAGTTTCTTTGAAAAAGTTTTTACATCACATATGAATTTCATAAAGATTTATATATTTAAAAAATAAAATAATATAAACTTTAAAAGAACTAGAAGAATATATTAGTGGCTATTAGATCTTGGTCAAAAATAAAAGCAAAATCATTTTGTGCATAAAAGTAAAATAAGAGATCATAAAGAAAAATAGTTTTAGATTTGACTGCATTAAAGTTATATTTACAATAAAAGTAAACATGAAAATGAAAGGGGAAGACCAACCATAATAAGGACTCCCACCTATATGACAGAAGTAATATCTTTTTTTTTTTAATTGGAGTCCCACTCTGTCGCCCACACTGGAGTGCAGTGGCTGCTCCCGACCACCGCAGCCTCGACCTGCTGGGCTCAGGTGATCCTTCCGCCTCAGCTGTCCAAGTAGCTGGAACTACAGGCACGTGCTACCACGCCCAGCTAATTTTTGATTTATTGTAGAGATGAGGTCTCGCCAAGTTGCCCAGGCGGGTCTCGAACCCGTAGGCTCAGGCAATCCACTCACCTCAGCCTCCCAAAGCACAGGATTACAGGCCACCAAGCCCGGCTAGAAGTAATATCTTTAACATAGAAAGCATAGCCACTGTCCCAAGGAAAAAAAGCCCAGAAAAATGTAAAAAAGACATAAACAGGCAATGCTCATCAGTTTTACTCTGCTCTTTAAATTATGAGATTTTCATCCTTAAAATGAATACACTAGGGCTTTCATTCAGTGGGAACATCTGCATATCTGATCAAGATGAACATCAAGAGGATCTCTCTCTGACAAGGCGGCCTTCTTAGCATTCGGATTCCTCATACTTTGTTCTTTGAACCACTCTCTCCTTACTATTTTGGCTCTTATTCTCACAGTTATGCCTGATATCTCATCAACAAAAATATCTGTATCCCCCCATCATCTAATTTCATGTATCCCAACTTTGAATCCCATTCTGCATTATTCTAACTCACTCCCTTAAGTACCTTGAACCCCAGGACCTCCAATCCATTGATAGTACAAATGTATTATCTTTCACACCCTGTATGGCTTCTCTCCCTTCTCTACCTAGTTTAAATTTCATGGCCATTGGTTATGATCACCACCTTGTGTATGCCATAACTCTCTTGTCCCATTCTTGTTTCTAGCCCGCACTTGTCAAAACCAGAATGCTGTTTAAGCCCAGCTCTCTTCCCTCACTTTCCATGCCCTGGCCTGGATGTTTGCACAGGGCTGAGGAAGCACACATGGTCTCTGTGATGGGTGTCACCTCAGTGCATGACTGTGAGCCTCAAGAGGGTCCCTAAGGCTGACCAGTCACCACACTTCTGTGCTCCCTGAACTAACACAAACGCACACACTTTCTCTCTCTCCCCGAGGATTTTCTCCTAAAACCCCAATGTCTTTTCCCTACCCTGCTCTCTGAGAAAATGTCAGCAATTGGAAAAGAGTGTTCATTGTCTCCAGCCAAGACATCTTCCCACCTGCCAACACATGTCCTCACACTCTGTGTCCCACCTTTTACTACAGGTACACTGTCTCCTTGGAAGCCAAGCATCCACTTATGCTGCCAGGTCCCCATTCCTCTTAGCTGTCTATGACACTGCTCCAGCATTCTTCCTCTCTCCCCGTATCATCTTCCCATCCTTCTCTTCGTTGGCTCGTTCCTTAAGCATACGAGCATTCTGGTCTTCCCAAGATCTTCAAAATCTGTTTTCTAACACTCTGTTTCTACTTCTTCCAGCAGTCTCTGGCCTATTTCTTTACTTTCCTTTACAGCAAAACTCCTTGAGCATTGTCGATATTGACTTGCTGTATATTTTTTCTCATTCTCCCTTAAATACATTCAAGTCCAGCAGTTGCTGCTTCACTACAGTGAAATAGTAATAATTTCTCTTGCCAAGGTTGACCATGATCTCTCCACTGCTAAATTCAGCGGTCAAAACTTGACTAAACTACTTGTCCCATCCCTATTATCCTTGACTCATTTGCAGTGTTTGAGACAGACACTCGCCCCTTTCTCCCTGATTTGCTTTCCTTTCTTGGATTCAAGGATACCAAGTTTTCCTCCTACCTTTCTGGTCACTTCTCAGTCTCCCCTGATCCTTCCTCCTTTTTATTCCTAATCTCTTAATCTTGGAGGGCCTCAGGACTCACACCCTTGATCCTCTTCTCTTTCTAAAAAATCTACTAGCATTCCCTTGATGATCATATCCAGTCTCCTGGCTTTAGGATAGCATCTGTCTGTTTAGAACAGACACACTTATATTTCCATTAGACTCTATCCTAACTCCAAACTTTTCTGCCATACCGCTTACTCCATGCCTCCATGAGCTGTCTAACAGCTATCTCCAAATTTGGTCTCATGTCCGATGTTAATTTCTTGATAGTCCTCCCTCCTTCCAAACAGGCCCTGCTTATCACCATCCTCCTATCAGTTGATGGCCACCCCATCATGCCAGTCACTCATAGAGTGGAGTCAATGTAGAGTCATCTTTGAGTCTTCTTTCATTCTTTCTGTATCTAATCAACCCGAAAACTCTATCAGTGCTACCTTCAAAATACATCCAGAATCCAGTCACTGCTCACTGTCTCCTATCTGACCAGAGCCAAAGTCAGCCTGGATGACTGGATATCTTCTAACTGGCTTCCCTGCTATCACCCTACCCTCCAACTGTGGGCTCTGACACACCTCTACACAGAAACCACAGATGGCCTTGAATCACTCCAAGTGAAAGATGAAGTTCTGGTGATGGCTGGCATGCCTCTTTCTTGGAGTTTCTCTACCTGTGGGGAAAGGGGCACTTGTGGACCACGATGAGTCTACCTGTCCCATACTTGCTAGACAACGTTAGCTAATCACAAGGCATGTGCTTAGGGGCTGGCCCTCGATCCCTGTACCTACCTTGCCGCAAAGCCCAGAACATAGTTTACAGATGAACACTGTCCTCTACCAGCCACACACAGAGTAGCACCACACTATGTCGCAAAGGCCATGTGTCAACTCTACCTAGTGTTCTGACTGCATCTCGCACTGGTCTTTCCTCCCTCCCTGCCTTGGTCACCTTGGCTGTAGCAGGAAATTGCATGTCTCAGGGCCTTTAGACCTGCTGCTCCCTCTTCCTGGAACATGATTCCTTCAGACCTGAGGGGACTTAGCTAACTCTGCCCAACCCCATCAAATCTCTGCTCAGATCTTGCCTTCTCAGACCACCCTATTTAAAATCACTCCCCAGTACTCCTGTTCCCCTTTGAACTGTTCTACTTTTTCTTTCATTCTACAGAGTCAACAATATTACTTAGTTTTAAAAATTATGCTTATTCTTTAAGTTTTTGTATCTCCCTGGCTAGAATATCAGCTTCATGAGTACCTAGGTTTTCATCTGATTTGTTTCCCGTGTATCACCCCAGCTAAACCAGTTCCTGGCATGAGAGTAGGCACTCAGAGAAGGTTTGTGAATGCTGAATGAGTGGACACATTCCTAATCCGTGTGCTCACCTTTGCGCCTGGAAATCCTTCCAGTCCTGGCAAGCCCATTGCGCCAGACTCTCCCTGTTAAATATGAACATAAGAAAGACAGGAGCAATAACCAAAAGGTTGTTAAGCATTGGCTTCAAAAGCAAAGATACCTTCTGTTAACCTTCCCATCCCAAACATTGATTTGTAATTTAGCAAGGAAATGATATGAACGATTTTTAAGCAATATATTATTGCATTTGGTGCTGAAAATCTTTGAGAGTAAAAGCTATTCTCTGGAGTAGTCTGTTTTCTGATTAATCATTTTTATTCTGACTGAGACTTGAATCAGAACGAATCCCTTTTCTCAGTGATAACTCCGATTTTAATAAGAGTGAAAGGTTGGGCTTTAATAAAGCTTGCCAATTTGTGAGGTAACTTGTGTTGCTAGATTTCCAGAGAATAAGGCCAAAACTATTTAAGAATGGAGAAGATGGGCTCTCCAAGCAGAGTGTATCATTCTGACATGTTCTTGCAGTCTGGCATGAATCAGAAATGGTGCAAGGTGGGCCCCAGGAGTAGCATCGCCAATAATTTCAAAAGGCACTGCTCAAGCCAGGGAGTCTGTGAAAGGGGTGGGCAAGTCTTTCCCATTTAGAAACGTCTTGTGCATATTCCAGTGCACGTTGCAGGCTAATGGAACTGGCAGGTCCTCAAGGGTCACGCTGGGAGAAACCGTGGGGAGGAAGCAGCTGACTATGGACAAACGCGCCTTGGGGCTTTGAGTCAAGAAAGGGAGGGAGTTGGGAATTGAGTGACGCTTTCTTGTTGATGAATCAGTGCTCCCTGCAAATCTTTTCTTAGGACACTGATGCTTTGAACATAACCGCAAAGAAAAAGGAGCTTTCAAACTGCATGTTCTGTAAATGTATTTTCACATGCATCGTTCTAAAATGCTTCACAACTATTATCAAGGCGCTAACTTCCATTATTATTTATAACATCACCCTTATTCCAGAAGACCTAATGAGAGAGCATGGAACTGGACATTTGCTATGCTTCAGAAATCTTTTTAGATGAACTCCCTCCAATATCCATCAATCAAAACTTGATCAAAATAAACAAACAATATTCAGATTCTATTCTGCACAAAGCTCTACAAAGGAGGCCCTGGTTTCATGACAAAGAAAACATGCTCTTTGATTCTCTTGTTTATATTCTCAACCATCTGTAGGACAGGGGAGGTGCTCAATCAATCAATCAATCAATCAATCAATCAGTCCTTACCTGAAAGAAACTGATAATTATATATTCAATTGAAGATCACTTAAAAATTGAATACCAGAGGAGTGAAATGAACCACCTCAGCAGGTAATAAATTCAGTTAAGAGCAATTTTCCTCTCTAGAGGTTTACTAAGCAGATTAGAAATCGCCCCGCAGATCTGCTGTCATGGAATTGGAAGGACATTGGGAAAGGATGTCTTCCCCATCCACTTCAGAGGGAGTTTCCTGTGACCTTCCTGGCCTATTCCAATGGTTTGGGGTATTGTTTCTCCATACAGGGCAACTGGTGGGAGGGGATTTGAGAGGCCCAGTGACCTGACAAATGACCCAAAAGGGTGGCTTCAAAACTTTTTCTAGGATAAGCCAGAGGATTTGTGCTGTGTGTGTGTTTACTTCACTTCAGGACTGGATTTTTCTGTATTTGTGCTTCACTCACTCAATTCACATCTCTAATAACAGGGGACACCCTCCAGGCAGCTTTTACTCTACCCTTCATTGCAGCTAAGACATTTGGAGCCTCATCTCTTCAGATTCTACTCAACTATGTCCATATTTCTGTTGCCAGTCACTTTCCAGTGCAAATGAATTATAATTAATCCTTTATTATAATACATAAAATACTTCTTCACTTTAATCTGCAGTTATTAATGCAAGAACTTGAAAGAACGTTCTAGAAAAGTACATGAGACATCTTGGTGCCCCTGAGGAAGCACAGGGGTTGTTTTGTGTGTGTGAGCATGGGAGAGAAAGACCAGAAGGAAATTTTTATGAACAATATGAAGTGAAATTAAAATCAGAATGAAGGATCTGGCTGGTGAATGCACAAAAACAGGTTACAGATAAAGACAGGGCAGAGTGATCAGTAAAACAAGGGAAACTGCTAAATGACCTATTTCAGGTTCAGAACATGGTCCTAACTATTGAAATGATGCTTTTGGGAAAAAAAACAAATTGGCTTTTAATATATATTTTTCCAGCAACAAAAAGGTAAGCCATTTAATTCACCACCTTTGAAAATACATTTTGGTATAAAAAGGCTACTTTTTCTGGCTTGTTTCTTTGCAGGTTTAAAAGTTATGCATCGAGTTTTGCCAAGCTGTACTGTACTGAAGGACTTTAAGTTTTTTTACATGGCAATGGAAAGTGCCTTGAAGGTTTATTTCAGTCTTAGGGACATTGAGATGAAGTATACACCCAAAGGTTGGAAGGAGACACAAGCAAACACGAGGATGGAGCCCAAGCTGGAGAAGGACAGAATGGGAAGGGACGTCCAGGCACAGAGGGACGCTAATGGGTCTGGCAGAGTTTTTGCAGTGAGGCCCTGTGGTGGAGAAAGATGCTGAGAGCAGTTGTCCTCTCTGGGCACTGGAGTAGACCTCCTGGTAGACCCTTTCTAATAAGTGGGTTCATGGCAGTACACATCTTACAGAACAATTGCCTAAGACATTCAAAGCAGATAATCAGGCCCTCCTCTTTGTTGGAAATTTGACAGGCACATTAAGAAATTTCTTTCCAGTAAGTATTTTGTCATCCACAATCTATTTAAAATGGAGTCAGTCATCTAAAGAGGGTGATTAGAAGGATGTGTCCCATGTTTCAGAGCTTCCAACGTGCCTTCCTCCAGCACAGGGGGATTTTAAAAACACATCAGTGGAAAGAGAATGACCTTGAGGGCAGTGACAACATCAGGACGAATCATCTTAAAAATAAAAAGCATACTGCTGGCATTTCTCTGGTGGCCTGCTTGTCCCTTTGACATATTAGTTGATGGACACTTAAGAGGGCAGGCCATTTTGCCTGAGGTTGCTCTAACTCTAATAAGACCTAGATCCTAAAGAACACATGACGTGGGCATGTACATACCGCTGGGCCGGGGTCGCCTTTTGGGCCCTGCAAGAGAAACATGAGAAGTCCTTTGTAAAATAATAACTGAGGCAAAATGATAGAATGTGAAACATTTTTGTCCCATTTGCTTTAACACACAAAAATTTTTGCAAATTTTGGATTTGAAGAGTAAGATGAAGAAATGTGACTTGCTGGGATGCCCATGAACGTGATTGCCTGGACAGTGGTTTAGCTCTTCGATTTACAATGACAATGGTGACACCATGGAGAAGAATGTTGTTTTCCATGACTTCGGCTGTGTACATTTTCTCAAGTTGGTTATGATTGGTTTTATTTGGCTTCACTTATTTCCTCCTGCTGCAAAATTTATTTACATCGGTAGCCTGCATTTTTCTGTTCACTTAGGAGTTTGTTTTTCATTATGGCTGCTCAGCTAAGTGTACTTGGTGATGACTGCTGTACTCACGGGGGGGCCGGGAGGGCCTGGGTAGCTGGGAACCGTCACACCTCCCTTCAAGGAAACAAGAGAAAAGAGAAAAATGAGAAGAGTTCACAGCAGCCTACAACTGGAAAGTAGTTTTAAACACAAATGTAAGTACCTGGATCTTGTATAAACTGCCCATGCCATTTCCTTCACTGAAGGGTGCACCCTTAGGAGAGAAATGAGATGCTGATTATTTTCAGGGGTGCATCTCCATCTCTTAACATTTACCACATGATATCATTCCCATTCTATTTTTAAATTTTTCCCATTGTATTTTAGAAAGCAAGTTGAGTACTATAAGTAAAATAATACCCCATTTCTGTTTTTAGCTTTTCCAGAGCAAGTACAGGGACAGAAGTGAGAAGTGTGACCGCTCCTGGAGCACTGATGCTTTCAGTTGGGCTGGATTAATGTTCAGGTTGGACAGACAGGACGCTAATGCATCCAGGGAAAAATATCTACTCATTAAAATTCAGTTTCGGAATTGCCAATTTATCTTAACTGTGCTGTGGGTTGTCACCTGGCAGTGCTGAGTAAGATGGGAAAGGGGATGGTTTGGCTCCTGAAAAGTAATGCTTTTTGACAGTCTCTTCACACCAAATAGAAAATTAAGGGAAATGGGAGATGATTTTACTCACACCCCTGTGCAGATGTTTCTACAAAGACACAGTCCTTAGAACAATGGGGAGCAAAAACATCCTGAAAAAACTGGCATATCATAGAGTAACCTATCCTATAGTTAAAAAAAAAAAAAAAATCACACATTTTAGCATTTAAAACATTTTGCCTATGAAAATTTTAGTTAGAATCTTTTATGCCTCTTTAAAAAATTCCCATAGGCTCAGTAATCGAATCTGCACGTTCCTTTCTGGGATATTCACATCTCATCTGCTCAGAGAAGGAGGCCACCTGCTGTTTCTGCCACCTCTTCTCAGCACTAGTGATGGGAACAAGACGCCCACCGTGTAATCCTTGGTCAGGTTGTGCATTCACTGGACTGCTGCTGAACATCTCCTGTGCTAAGTCCTGGAGAGACAGAGGACTCTTGTCTAAGGTATCCAGAGGAAGTTTCCCGGAGAAGAAAACATTGACTCAGCGTAGGGAAAGACGAATGGTACAGATTTGAGAAAGACTGCATCGTCTATTATAAAATCACAGGCCCCTTTCGTGAGTTGTATTATATGTGCTCTCTGTCCACTGGGAAGGGACTGTATTCTAGGATTTGAACCCAGATACTTTCTGTCCTGCTTCTTTGTCGAGGGGGGAAGGAAGTAACAGATAAGTAGATTTAGGGGCCCAGTTGAGGAGAGAGCATGCCAGTCTCCATTTATGTGCAGAGCTGCCACTGTACACAGACATGGTGTGTCCTCCTAGTCTTTAGAAATCATGGTCAGGTCTGCCCTTTCTCTGGTGACTGGGGCTTCTTAGAAGCTTCCTACGGAGTGGGGTAGAAAGAGTGGTGGGAAACTATGGGGGGGGATGGGAGGTGGGACTAACAGTGAATATCTGTCTGGGGACAGGGAGACATCCCTTATTAACAAGGGTGCCTGAACGATGCACATTTGTATACCTAACCCTTAACTGTACCTGACGATTTTATAATAAAAAAAATGTTTAAAAAGAAGAGTGTTAGCCTGGACCTCTGCTGCGATTCAAGCACGGCCCCACTTGAGGGCAGACTTGCCACAAGAGAGGTCTCTTCTCACGGCCTCCCTTGCCAGGAGCATCCATCTCTATCAGGAACATAAAACATCCAGGGAACCAGGAGCGACATGAATAGAGCCTCTTGCATCTCAGACACTGTGGGGTGGGGAGAGGGGCAGTGAACAACTGTGGCACAATATCCGATCTGCCTGCTGGCACTGCTGCAAGTATCTTTTTTCCAGCCTTCCCCTCTCTCTTCTGGACACAAAGCTCCTGAGTTCAGTGATTTTCCCGGAACCCCAGCAATAGGTGAAGAGTTGAGCACACACCCAGGTCTCCCAGGTGAGAGGTGGGGAGACCTGCACAGCATGGGAGGCCTTGAGGGGGGCAAACAGGATCTACCCAAAGCATGCTGGGGTCACTTATATTCATACATGAAACCCAGAAGATTTTCATCTTTGAGAACATCTCAATGTAGTCTCACCTCTGAGTTATAAAAGTCTTAAGCAAACACACAAATGTTAAATCTGACACAACTCACAGGTGGTCCAGGTCTCCCAGGTGGTCCCTCGCTGCCCTGCAAGAGGTAGACAGACAATGTCAGCAGCTTAGACATCCGGATTCATGAACTTGACTGTGCCCATTCAGAGAGCCAAAATCAGCAGGACTTGCCTTTGGCCCTGACTGAGCTAGGCTTTCCCCTGTACCCAGGAAAACATATCTGTAGGCCACAGAAAGGTATATATCTTTCCCCACACCCAGTGTGAGTTCTAGGGCTGACGCTTATACTTAGAAGGAGCCCAACAACCTGGTGATGCTGTCCTGGACTTGCAGTATAGGGGATAGGGGGAGGTCTCCCACAACAAGTTACAGAGCAGAGCACCTGCCGGAGGGTCCTGGGCATTGGGACTGTAACCCCCAGAGTCAGCTCTCATCTGGGGCCCCATTTCTTCCACTGTCGTCTCCTGGGAAAAGAGGGGCCATCCCCTTCATTTGACCTAAGTAAAAATATCACTTGTCGTGTCTGCAAGGAGGAGAAATACCTTCCACCTCCTGAATTAATAACCCAGCAGACACGGCTCCTGAGTGGAGTGGCTGTGGTCTACACTGCAGGGCGGGTGGCCTCTGCAGCCTCCATGGTCCCTCTGCTTGCAGAAGGGGACTGTACACGGCATGTGTGAGAAATGGATTCCAGCTGAAACCTGATGGATGTGTTTCGCTTCTACCTTTACAAACTGCAGATGCTTATTGGTCCTTCATAAGCCAATCTCTCCCCGGTTCTCCCCGGAACTGTGCTTTTTAAAAAATTTTTTTTTTAGAACAATAGCCTCATAAAATATTTAGGTCCTTCTAGATCACGGCAAATGGCAAAGAAGAGTTAATTTAACAAGGAATCCAGAGAGGGTCAACGTTCTACTCACAGTGTCCAAGAATTTTGAGGGATTTTCGTCTATGAACTTGAAGGACCTCATTCCAAAGCCTTCTCTCCATTTAGTAAATAGTATCATAAAATCTTTCATTTGCATGAGTATTAATAAAAATAAACAGTAGTTTTTCTTACAACGTATCTGACTGGGCACATGTGACAAAGCACAAGTGTACTGTATCTTTTCTGAACTTCTTTGATGGTGGCTTTCTCCCTGAGATGTGCCTTCTGCCGACGGCTGGCAGTGTCCTTCAGAGAGTTATGTCACAGTTCTTACGAGTCAATAAGCAAGGAAAAATATGTGCCTGTTGAAAGCCTTTTTTTCCTGGGCACAATTAAAAGTCAGACATCTACTCATTTGTGCCCTGAAGCTCATCTCAGTGTGGAATTCCACGACCTTCAAAGCATGCCTATGACTGCACCATCCTTGAGAACAGAGGAAAAAGCCTTGTCCAGGGAGCTCTGGGGATAACACCACAAAACTGTGCCGGGCCAGTCTAGAATAAGCCCATTGTTTCCTTTAAAATGTGTCGGATTCCTTTGCCTTTGACGCCATCCTGCTCCTTGTGGGTCAGGGCATTTGTGTCCTGACAACCAGGACGCCCATGAGTGGCCCTGGGTACCCTTGGTTTTTATTCTCCTAATCTGAAGAGCTGGGTGGATTTCACTCACGTGCTGGCTCTGCTGACTGAGGGGTCAACTGAGACCCCTGGTGGTTAATACGGGAAGCCCCGTAGCCTCTTGTCCAAGTTCTTCCATTGCCAGCCTGCCTTCTGGCCACAGCAACCCATGTGTCTGAGAACTGGCCTCCCAGGACACAAGCTAGCCTGGCTCCTTTGTGAGTTTCCTTCTGACCCTCCAGGGACAGAACATCTGGAGGGTCTCAACAGGCCTTTGGTCGACAGGATTCATGGTCCTGATAGCTGGCGTGCTGCCTGTGGCCTGGCACCTGCTCTGGTCTGAATGTTTGTGCCCCTCCCCCAATTCATATCATGAATTCTCGCCCCCAGGATGAGAAGTGAGGAGATGGGGCCTTTGGAAGGTGATGAGGCCATGAGGGTGGAGCAGTCACGAACAGAATTAGTGTCTTTATCAAGGAGGCCTAAGGGAGTCTGGTCCCCCTTGACCCAGCTAGAAGATGCCATCTATTAATGAGAAAGCGGTTCCTCCAGACCCTATTCTGCCAGCACCTTGCTCTTGGACATTCCAGCATCCAGAAATGTGAGAAACACACATATGTGTGTTATTTTTAAGCCATGCAGTTAGTGATATTTTACTGCAGAAGCTGAGCAGACCAAGACAACACCTGTGGCTGGGCCTTCCGGATACACACCACCTGCCTGACCTCTTCAGGAGCCTCTCTTTCCCGCAGACAGTCACCCAGGACCCTGAATCCAGCCTGAACTTTAATTATAGACATCAATGTTCTGCCCATCCTTTCTCCTAGGAACATATCTCATGTGTTCAAATCGTTTGACCCAAGTCCTCCCAAATCCACGACTACATCGTTCCAGGTACACAACTGGACCCACGTCTTTCCAGATCCACAATTGGATCTACATGCTCCCAGGTCCATGACTGGACCCATGTCCTCCAAAGTCAATGACTGGACCTACATCCTCTCAGTGCCACGACTGAATCTTGTCATCTCAAGTCCACGACTGGACCTTTGTCCTCTCAAATCCACGATGGGACCCACATCCTCCCAGGTCCACGATGAGACCCATGTGCTTCCAGGTCCACAACAAGACCCACGTCCTCCTAGGTCTACAACTGGACCCATGTCCTTCCAAGTCCAATTGGACCTATGTCTTCAAGTCCATGACTGGACAGATATCCTCCTAGGTGCACAATGGGACTTATGTCCTCCCAGGTCCCCACTGTATTTGCTTTCAGGTTTGCTGGATTTGCTGTCTCTGTAAGCTGTCTCACCCTGCCCCTACCCCAAGCACAATTTGGATGGTGAGGGAGACTTTTCCCCTGATACCTTGTCACCCTTTGCTCCCATGGGGCCGGGATGTCCAGTTCTTCCCAATAGGCCCTGTAAAAGACAACATTAAGTTTGCTACAGAAACAACTCAATGACCAAAGGGTATTGGAAGCTGGTTACTAAAACGTATACATTTGGAAGGTCATTTGATCCTAATTAAATCAGTCCTAGAAGCTTGTGTTTCTTCAGGCTGATGCAGCAGCTGTGCCCTGCTGATAAGCCCTTGGAAGGGCAGAGTGTGTATTTGTGGTTGCTTTTTCACCTTGGTCAACTGCATTTAATGACCTTAATTGGAACCTTTTGATACATTTAAGAATCTGGCTTTGCTGTCTAAATGGCAATTTACATAACATTATGACTTCCTAAATGAGCTACACTCTTAGTGGTGATCAACATTTAAATACTCAAGACAGGGCAGAATTAACAGTGTGTGTGTTGAGGGATGTAATCCGCATTTTCCAATGAAAAATGCAATTTAATTTAAATTCTTTGGAAGTAGAGTTAGCTATAATTTTCATGGTTCCTTTCACAATCCTTTTTCATAAAGTTTAATTTCAATGTACAATTCAAAGGTTTGCTCTACATAACTATGGTGAAAGTATAAATGATAAAAATTTTAATCATGGCAAATCCATGCCTCAAAACAGTAAAGAATATGATTCCATTCTTATCCGTGTGGTAAAAGCTTCATCTGCACAGGAACTCAGAAGAGGGAAGAGGTAGTCAAGTGTAGGTTTGTGTTGGATTGCCAGATGCATCAAATGAAAACACAATACTTGGGACAACTTTATATGAAACAATCTGAAGTTCAGATTTAGCCATGTGCATGTATTTTATGTGATGGCCCTCAAGCTTAACTCTGTTTGAATGAGAATTTGGATTTGCCAGGTGGAAAAGAGTCAAGATTTGTAGGAAAATGGGAAAGTTACAGACACAAAGGCCTTGATGGTGTGCCTGAGGGGCAGAGAGAGCTGTGACTGAAATAGAGGATGTTGTAACTTGTACATAAAACGAAAAAGAAGTTAAATATGGTAATCATTGGCCCGCTTTTTTTTCCTCTAGAAAATAAATTCTCAGTTTATGGTGCTGTTTGAATATCTTTTCTAAAGTTTAGTGCCAAAAAATTACAACTAAAAAACAGAATGCTCTTATATATCTACTTTATATTTCAAACAGACTGGCCTAATCAGACAGTTTTATGATCTGGTGGAATTCTGACGCAAGTCTCCAGAACCCTGAGCAGCTCTAAGTGACACTAAATGAAAATCTGGGCAGTTGGATGAAGCCCTACTCCAGGCAATGGCTGGATAATCTGTATGGAGGCACAGAGGACAAAGGCCATGAGGAATGAGTTCGTTTTGCACCATCCCAGCAGATATGAGCTGTGAGTAACATAACTCTTTTTCTTTTTAGAGAGGGAGTCTTGCTGTGTTGCCCAGGCTGGAGTGCAGTGGCACAATCATAGCTTACTTCAGCTTCAAACTCCTGGGCTCAAGTGATCCTCTTATCTCAGTCTCCCAAACAGTGAGAATAGTTTCAACAAATACTTACAGGAGGTCCAGTAGGGCCCGGGGCACCTGGAATGCCTGGAATTCCTTGAAGACCCTAGAAAAGATGGTTCCTACCATAACATCTGTTATACCATTGGGAGGAGGGCATTTCAGTTATTCAAATATCTTGACCACTGACAATTAAATATTTATTTTAGCTCATCGAGAAACATAATGCACGTCATATACAATATCCATTTTTTAAGAGCGTAAGTCTGTGAGCTAAAGTGCATAATATGGAATCTGCAATGAAGTTAATTGACCTGCTTGGTGAATCACAGAGTGTTTGCAACTTGACAGAGTCACCCCATCAGCAGTAGAAGCCAGGAAGCCCCTAGTTATAGCCTAGAGCTGCAGACTCTAGACTGCCAGAATGCCATGGAACAGATATATGATACACCAAAGCTTCATTCAGCTAGTGGAAAGATGGGATATGTTTTATGATACAGTATTTAGTTTTGCTGATCTGTTCATTGTAAGAAGAAATTTAGCTTATTGGTGAATTTACATTTGAAGTCCTTTAATGGCTTCAGTGTGAAAATTAGTAGATTTCCCCTCCTCTGTCCTTGAATTTGTAGAATAATGCTAATTAGACTGGATAGGATTTAAGATGCTGATACATTTACATATCAAGGAAGAACTGGCAAGATTAACTAATAACACATATAATTAATTTTGTTACTTTGACACATTTTCCAATAACAGAATATTAAGTAAATTCATAAACGGAAATATTTTACAATGATTAAATCATGTTTTAGAAAATGACCAGATAACATGCAAAAATAAAAGTCCCTAAGCATTATATGCCATAGGGACTAAATTTTTAAACCATTATAAATGCCCTTCCTAGAGATGGCAAGTGATAAACAGAGGCTTTTATTATTTTATCACGACAAACAGATAAATCTATTATCTGGAAACTTTAGTGTTAGGTGAGTTTCAAATTTGGGGCTTTCAGATTCTTTCCACAGATGTTCCTGAAAATTATGTGGTATTCCCAATGGGACTGTAGCAACATCCTCTAATAAACACATATTTCTGTGGCAAAACATGATATTCTGGCAGTGAAGTAAATAGACTAGCTTCATGTGAGTTCAGGTGAAGTTTGGCTGCCAAATGAATTTGTTGCAAACATGGGAAAAATTTTCAGAGTGTTCAGAGGCTTTAGAGTTTTGGATTGTGTAGATGAGGGGTTGCAGATCATAATACTACTATTATCAGAAAATAGGAAAAGGGATAACTTTTCTTTTCAGTGCTTTTGTGTATTTTCCAATTTCCCATAATGAACTTAAATCACTTCTATAATCAGAAAAAAATTACAATACCTTTTTATTATTTCAGGTGATCACATTATACATCAAGTTCTATGTTGAATGATTTCATTCCAGAATTTAATTTCCTTTACTGAGTATTTCTTTTTTTAAAACCATTTTTTTTGTTATAATAGAATACCTTGACCTTGTACTGTTATGAAGCATGCATTTCTATACACATTATAAGTCTTAGGTGACATGACCATGGCAAAATGACCACATATTGATGATGAGATTTCTACAGGAATTAGAGGGGGACCAAGGCTCTTTGCACCAGTAGGATCGAGGACCCAATGCCAACCGGCATCGTGTTATTTCACATTTGTTCATGTATTATGAGATGAAGGAAAGCTAAAAAATAAAAATAAAAATCTCCTTGAACATGCTAGAATCCTTCATGTTATAAGCCTTGGGCAAAATCTTGTGTGCTTATGTGAGGGAATGTTGCCATATTCTCTCTTCAAGAATCTATCAGTCTCATTGGCAATGGTGTGTGTGTGTGTGTGTGTGTGTGTGTGTGTGTGTGTGTGTGTGTGTGTGTGCTTTTTGTGGACTGTATTCATCAATCTGCTGTACCAGTTCTTTTTATTCCCCCATCATTAGCTTGTTTATTAATTTATCAATGCAAAGGAAAAATATCATTGGGAATGGCACCTCTAAATGACTGGACAGTATGAATGTTATACCATGAATTTCTTTATCTCAAAATACCCACATTTCCATAAAATTCTACCTGTGAGTGTATAAGATATACAGGTACACATGTATTTTTTTTTCTGCTTGGCTACTTTTAGTCTTCACACTGAATCGGTCTAGAGATGCTGAGTGAGTTTTTAGGTAGTTTAATTTATAAGCTTGGGACTCATTAACCTTTGATGACCACATTAAACTTTAAAATAAACCTCAGTCCATAAATAAAAAAAATCATTCTCAGCAGTCTTTCCCTGAATAAGCTGAAATTCTGTAGTAAGGGCAAAAGTTACTATGGATGCATAAAGGGCAATAAGATAATTTTAGAAGACAAGATGGTCATTAAAGAAGACAAATACATAATGAAGAGTGGAACAGCTCATTTAACATATAGAGCCAAGCTAAAATACAAATTAAAATTTATTGTAGATATCCAGAGATTGTTAAAGCCAAGTTCTTTCTCTGCTCTGATATTTTGATTTCACAAGTCCTAATTCTGTTGCTACCAACAATATTTCCTGTTGTAGTTTGTGACTGACAATATTTTTTACATCTTATTTATCAGTTATTATCCTGAAATTCCAAGCAGGAATTTACTCTAAGAGAGGTGAGTCTATGTTCTAGTCTGTGTTCTATTTGCATCTTACAGGTTGCTACTTTGAGTTGTGCAGCATCTACAAAAACAGTGGAAGATGATGTTACTTTTCTAAGAGGAATAAACAAGCAGGCAACTTCTCGCTCTATTGTCCCAAACAGATGAGTTGAAGACATAATCATTAAAAGTCCTGGAAGAGATGGTGGGGGGGGGCTCTGTTTTCTCCTTAGAATAGACATTTGAGATTTTGTAAGAGTAGATATTAGGTACACACTGCTTGTTGAAACAGAATAGTTTATTGGCCAATTGGAAATGCATGCTTTTGGTCAAAGTTTTAGTCGTTTAAACAAATCAACAAATTGTAATTTCCGGTGGTGTCTGAGTTCAAGTGGAAGACAAGGTTATACTCATTATTTTCATTTACAGAGAGAAAAGTTGCACCTTTTATTTCCTCCAAGAGGCTCAAATGTGTCAATATGTTAGTTCAGGTTTATTGGTGTTATTTATGTCATATGTAGAAACAATGGAAAAGAATGTCCTGAACTTGCTGGAACTCCCCATTTAACAAGAGTCTTGTGCAAAATTTCATGTAGTCTGTGTTAAAACCTCCATGTGATGTACCTGAAAAGAGCACGCTGAAAGAGTGGAGGAATATTAACAGGGATTTCAGTTCCCAAGAAAGCAAAGTGCCTGCAGAATTAATGAAAATGAACTTCTACTGAATATAACTTAGTCACTTAGGAAAAACCCTAATTCCAGTTATTTCTTGATCTTTTTGTTACTGCCTTCCCAATGGCCTCAAATGCCTTTCTTTTAGAACACAGGCGGTTGAAAGACATTGAACTACTGTCAGGGGGTGGGGTGGGAGGTGGGATTGGCAGTTGAGGAAAACTGCTAGGGGATGGAGGGACATACCTCATCAACAAGGGTGCCTGCGTCATCAATGTTTGTATACCTAATTCTGAATTGTATCCCATGTCTCTCTAAAAAAAACCAACATATTGAACTATCATAATCAGTGATTGTGCCTGTGTGCCAGTGAAACCTTCCATGGAGCACGAGGGGGCAGAAGTTCACTAATTTATCCTGAAGGTAAAATGCCTTTAATGTTTTATTTATGGGTGAAAATAAATATTGTGTTTTTTGGTATTCAGTTTTTAACTTGGGAGAAAAGCAAAACAAAACAAAACAAACCGCACCTCAAAGTTTTCTGTAACAGAAGTATTCGTTAGAAAGAATCACACATGATGATAATTTGCAGTGAGAAGTGCAACTCTGACAAGAAAAATAGGTCTGCTTTATATACTGTTATGATTTGCTGCAATAACATCAAGGTTAATATGTGCCAGATGGCTTACTTACTTTCATTAAGAATTATTAGTATCAAAATTGCTTAAACTAACAGCAATTCATCATTCTAATTGGCTTTTCTAAGACTTAATGCGAATTATGCAGGGGAAAAAAATGAGATCCAGAGTTTCACCAGGGTTTTGAGTCAGAAAATTAGACCACCAGCTTCAAAGTGTGTTGGACTTGCAGCCTCATCGGGGATGAGTAACTGATCTAAACTAGTTCAATAAGATCCTCTTGATAGTTTTTTCTCCCAAGAACTTGGAAGCTGAGCAGAGAGGACAAACCAAGGTTGCCGAGTGGGATCACATCACAGTGGCATCTCAGGGATGCTCTGTTGGCTTCTGGAGCTGCCCCTGCCTCCTCAGCTGGTCCTTTAACTAGTCCTTGAATCCTCTTAGCTACCCTGGGATTCTTTCCAGTAATTTTCTCTTAGATTTATTTGGAGAGAGCTGGAATTGTTACTTGCTGCATGAAAACAGAAAAACCTAACTGATATATTCACTTTATGCTTTAATTTCCTTGTCTCAAAAACTGGACCACTTGCAACAGGTATGAACACTTTATCATTTAAAATGTGCTAACTTTTTTTTTTTTGAGTTGGAGTCTCACTCTGTCGCCCTGACTGGAGTGCAGTGGCATGCTCCCGGCCACTGCAGCCTTAACCTGCTGGGCTCTGGCGATCCTTCCACTTCAGCCTTCCATAAAATGTAATAATATTTTAAAAAGACCTATCCAGTGTTTGTTTGTATTGGTGTCTGTGTTAAATGCATGCTACAGGGGAATGCACATCTCTGTTTTGATAAATTGGATACAGTGAATAGGTGGAGTTCTCTGTGATCAGAAAGGGTCTCTTACCTCTTCGCCCTTCTCTCCTGCAATTCCCGGGTAGCCTCGCTCTCCTTTGCTTCCCTAGAAAGACAGCGCATTCAGCCACGACACCTAGTCATGGTGGCATCTTTAGAGACAACGATACAACCTCTTCTAAAAATCACTGGGGGCATGTAATTTTGACAACGCCAGGGAACAAATACATGGCAGCATTTGCAAGTGGCTTTTACACCACTTTCCCAAAATTGTGTGTGTGTGTGTGTGTGTGTGTGTGTGTGTATGTGCGCGCGCATGTGTATTAAAGCTATATATTTAAAAAACAGTGTTCTTTTTTCACATGGAATTGAGGAACTAACAGAGGAGTCTGGAGGAGAGACTTCTTACCTTTGGCCCCTCTCTACCTGGGATTCCCGGAGGCCCCCGAGGTCCCATGTCGCCCTAGAGGACAGAGAGTAACAGGGCTGAGGGGATGCACCACATATGACCCCAGAGTCACAGACAACTCACAGCCTCTCACCTTTCGGGCTGTGGGACCGGGCCTCCCAGGCTCACCAGCGCCTCCGTCCTCTCCCTTGGAGCTCTTTGGCCCGGGGACACTGGCCTGGCAGGTACCACAGACGTTCTGATGGGTATGAAGACAAGGTTACTGAGAGATTCCTAAAGCACTCTAGAAAGCATGAGTTGGTGTCTCTGATGTTTCATTTGAGCCTTTGCCAGAGACAAGTGACGCAGCAGTTGCTAGGTCACTAGCTTTCGAAAACTTGATTTATCCAATTTCAAAAGATGACTTTTTGTGAGATGACCACTATTTACAAAGCGAATCAATAATATCTGTTAATGATATTGGTGAGCTTTTATTTAAAAATCATGTCTCTGATGACATTTAGATGGAAAATTCCAAATAAGTAATAAGAAATAGACACAATTGAAATTTGCATTTCAATTCCTTAGCAGCCAGGGAGGTGGTGATAAAGTCTGGAAACATCAGCAAGATTGCAGAGTTACTACAACCTAAGGCATAAATCATTTAAAAACAGACAAGTAAAGAAAAAAACTGTGAAGAAAGGATTTCTCCTTTCGGGAGCAAAATTAGTTGGCAAATCCTCCACATAGGTCACTAGCATTTTGTCAGTGAAGGCAGTCATGTGAGAAATAACCACTCAAGGGACTTGGACTTGACTCCCAGGTCACACCCAAGTGAAAACAGGAAATCTAAGTGGAATTACCTTTCCACTGCTTTCTCTGCAGCCTTTGACTGATCTGGAAAGGCTTGCATTTAAGTATTTGAGCTAAGACAAACATAACTCATTACATAGCTAAAGAAAAAGTGTCTGTGAAAAGCTCAGGAAAGGCTTATTTTAAAGTAAATTGCTAGAATAAGAATATGAATGAGAAAGGCCTAGAATAAGGCCCACAGAACTGATAGTCGAACAGTTGATAGAAGGCTCCATTCTTCTACTTTTTGTGCTAAAGGCAGTCTTCAGACATGAAAAGCAAGCTGAAGCTGCCCTGAGTCGCTGCGGGAATGCCCCTGGTCAGTATTTTTTTGCCTAATGAATGGAAACATAAGTCTGATTTCCAAAAATAAGCTTCTAACAACACTTATTTTTGTATGATATTGAAAAGGTTTTGAGGCAAATCATCTAAAAAATGCCAGGTTAAACAGTTCTCTTTGTGGCGGTTCTTCTTAGAATCTGAGTATATAAAAGGGGGTTAGAATTATGAGCCATGTTTATAAACTAATTTACCATCTGGGTTATCTTTCAGGGCTAATGTGTTGGTAGGAGGGTTAAATATATCTATAGTAATAGAAATATCACTGATAATATCTGAAAAACTATGAAGATAAAGGGATACCTGAGAACCTGAGAGAAACAAAAGGGTTTCCATATTTCAAAAAATTTGAAAAGATGAAAGGTTGTATCTGCAGACATGTAAACATGGCATATCCATATGGAGGGAAATGTTGGTTTTTCAATATACAGAAGTGTTTTAGAATTGGTTATTCAACTGATAGTTTTTTTAAAGCATTAAAACATGAGCATCATTATGTGTCAACAGAATTTTTTAGAGGTCATATGAAACTGACTTCATTTACTCCAGGTCAGGGCTTCCAGAATGGTAAATTAAGGGAAACTGGATTTTATTCAGGTTCTTGAGAACAGATCTGAAGGCTTTCTTATGGGAAGAAGAAAGATTCATCAACAGTTAGCCGGTACACAAAAGAATTGATATACAGGTGGACCCAGAGGCAGGTCTTTGAAGGGACACTGTTGGAGCCTGTAGCTATGCCAGTTCTTTTCAACCATTTAATCAAAGATATTTTTGAAAATAGAAAGTGGAATAATCAAGGCAGTTGAAGACTCAAGGCAGAGAGAGAGAGAGAGAGAGAGAGAGAGAGAGAGAGAGAGAATGAGAGAGAGACAGAGAGAGAGAGAACACGTCAAAAAGCGAGTCCAGGATTCCATGTTCCATTGCTAGGTTGGCCTGCAGATCTAAGCCACAGTCTAAATTCCTGTACTTAGATTTTGTGTGGGGAACAATAGATTCTCCTTCTCTTGTTGAAGACAGTTTGTTGGGACTTTCATTCCAGCTGTCCTGCTCTCTTGGGATTCAGAGCCTTGCTGAAATGATGCAGAACTGGAACAACGGTAGTGCACATTTGTGACAGGGGTGCTGCCCTGGTGACACTGCCTGTGACGTCTTCCTGGAATCTTGGGGTTCTTGCTCCTCTTCCTGCCAGGGGCTATCCACAGGCCTCTGTCTTTCTGTAGGCTACCACTAATTCTATCAGAATGTTCCTTTCTAATTGTGTGTGCACAAGTTTCTGATCCTTAAAGAACCCTAACTACTCTGGAATGATGTAACTCTATACTCTCGCTATTTCTTTTTTTTTTGAGTTGGAGTCTCACTCTCTTGCCCAGACTGGAGTGCAGTGGCCGCACCCAGCCACTGCAGCCTCGACCTGCTGGGCTCCAGCGATCCTTCCGCCTCAGCCTTCCAAGTAGCTGGAACTACAGGTGCGTGCTACCACGCCTGGCTCATTTTTGATTTATTGTAGAGATGAGGTTTCGCCAAGTTGCCCAGGC